ACAGAGCTCGCGATGGCCGGCCTTATCTATCTCTTCGGCCTCGAGGGCTCGAGAGACGGGGGTCCATGCAAACGGGGGTCAGCCGGAGCGCCGGGTTCTCTTCAGGATCCTGCAGGGCCAGTGGCTCACTGACCCAGGCTTGGGTGCAGGATCCTGCAAGGCCTGACCGACGCGGCTCTGGATGGACCCGGGTCAGCACGTCCCCGAGGCTTCCTCGGGCTGTTTCCCAGCCCTGGGACGGTCAACAGCGGCTCGGGATTCGAGCAGTCCCCAGAAGAGAGGTCGGGATCCCCGAGGGCCCACGCCGTGAAGCGAGGTGGGCCGTCGCAGCAGATATCAGAGCGTGAATCACCTCCCCCGCTTTCGCTTCCAGGCAAAACCAAGCCATACCACGCGCCTCCTCGTCAAGCGGCCTGACCAGTACAGGCCGCAATTTGGCAACGTTTGGTACCTCTTGGAAGCGAGGGTGGTCAAAAGCGAGGTAGGCTTGTTTTCCCCCGAAGATGGGGAGCCTCGACCCTCCAACGTTGGCCACGCCGACGGCGTCGTCGCACGACGGCTTTGTCGACGCCGAGGACGCCGGCGATTTCGACGACGTCGTCGTTGTCGTCCTCGGGATTTGCTCGTCCTTCTACCCCCTGCCCTTTCCACACACCATCCGCGTCCTCTCTTGGCCGTTGTCGTCGTCGTCGTCGTCGTCGTCGTCGATGTCGAGAGTCGACGACGACGTCGCCGACGTCAGCGACGCCGAGCGGCGACGCCGCCGCCGCCACCGCAGGGCGGCCCGCCCGGCCGCCCCGCGGGCCGCGGCCCCGCGCGGGGGGGGGGGGCTGGGGGCGTCGCCACATATTGGCGCGCGGATCGGTACGATCGAAATGGATACGGAGAGAATGGGTAGTGTTAAGTAGGGCCTGTTCCTCTACAGGGGGAATATTCCAAAATGGTCAACAAGAATAGTCTGGGGACCATTTTGTTAAATATGTTTCATCATTTGTTGTTTTTTGTTCGCCCAAAATCCCCCTGTAGGGGGACACGCCCGACTTAAGGGTAGTGTCTCTGTAAGATCGGGGGGAGGACACCAACACCAACACCACCAGGGGGCTCACTGCCAGCGAGGAGGTCCACGGTGCCTCCCCGAGCTGGAGGCAGGGGATTTCTCGAGCGAGAGGGGGGGACCACACCACCAGGGAGACCCCCCTGGTCTCCTCGCATCTCCTCGCCCTGGTGGTGTTGGTGTCGCCTTTCCTTGCTCCCAGTAAGAAGAAGAAACGTCAGAAGAATCAGAAAAGGTATAAACATCAACGTTTGACGCTCTGCGCGTATGTCTTAGACACGCGCTGGCCCCCCCCACCCGCCCCGGCGGTGCCTCTGGCGCCGCTCCGCGCGCCAGGGAGGGGAGTTCCAGCGCAGATCCAAGAAATCCGCACGTAGCGTCGAAAATTTATGTTCATGCAGTTCTTCTTCTTCTTCTTCTTCTAGACTCCCCCCCAGCAGCAAATGCGCTGAGATATGAACCACTTGAATGGACGAAAACGGGATCGACTGCGCCGACCTTCCCCGCGTAGTTGGAGCTCCTGGGGCACGCTGGGCCTCGTGAGGGCTGCTCTGGAGGGCGTGGGAGCCTCCCTGGAAATCCTGGGAGCACCTGGGGCCATGGGTACTTCGAGCAGCACCCGGATATCTACGGAAAGAACAGGTACGCTAGGTTCGTGCAGTGTCGACCGTCGGCGACCCCGCCGACGGCGTTCAACGTTGAACGCTGGCGGCGACCCAGACTCGGTCGATGTCGAAAGATCGTGTTTCGGAAACGGCCGATCGTTCCAGGTTGACCGATCCCCGCGGTGTCAGAGACCAACGCCAAAGTTGGCAGAACAGGAAGCTGCCGTACGGAGAGAACGGATACGAAGGCCAACAGCCGCCGTTGGGCATCGTACCCATTTCGGGCGTCCAAGCGAAGGGCCGCCGCAACTGCCGCGATGGCGCAGTTCGCGCCGCCGCTGCCGCCGTTGGGCCGGCCAGGCTCCGGTGAGGTCGAGACAATTCACCACCCACCAAACCACCCCAACCCAACCCGAAGGCCTCAATTTGCACTCCATTTCCAGGGGAGGGGGGGGTCGGGGAACGTCGAGATTCGGGTCTTCGGGTTGGGTTGGGGTGGTCTGGTAGGTGGTCAACAATCGATCTGCCCAGACCCCCTCGTGGCGCTGCGGGAATTGGGGGGGAAGAGAAATATGGGAAAATATGGGGAATCCTGTTGTTCGTGTGTATTTATTTGTGTGTCCCAGGGCCCCTGCAGCTCTGTTGTCATTTTCTGCCCTCGGGGGCCCTCGCCGGGCCTCAGGCCCTCCAACCGCCCATCGGTCGGAGTGGGCTGTCGCCGCAGCCGCGTGCACGAGCGTCTCCACCCACGCCTGGAAATTACCAACATCGGGCCGAACGAAAGGGAGGGACAGGGAGAGGGGGGGTTGCGAAGTCTGCTGCATGCAGCTGGTGTCTGCCCCGCCGCCAGGCCCATTCCTCGATGCATGGCCACCTCCGGCGCCGGGAGGCGCCGGGAAAATCAGCCACGTGAGCTGATTCTCCCCCCCCCCCTTTGCTATCCCCCCCTTTGGCCCAGCCCGACAGTATCAGCGGCGCAGGCGCAAACTTTTCCAGCGGAGCCTTAGCGCAGAACGATGTGGCCAACGCAAATTGTAAGGCCAGGCGCAGTCATTCTACCTGCCAGTGGCAGGTGCGCCCCTAGAGAAGAAGAAGGAAGCCACAAGCAAACAACGAGGACAACCGCTTCCCCCATGAGGACATCACCGAACTGGCGGTCTTCCAGGGCCGACAGGTGGACATTGACTGAATAAGCCAATCTGCCAGGCATGACCATTCGAAGTCCCTTTGTATTCCGAATCGTTACCGCCACTGCGCCGTGGCAACGCCTGCGGGTGCGCCCTGGCCTCGGCCCCGGTCGCTGCCGCGGTCCCCGCTGCCCCGGCTTGCCGCTCCGGTTTGCTCTTCGTGGATTGGTTCAACGTCTGGACGTTTCGCCCCTCCTCTCCTCTCGCGGCCGCCCTCGTTTTCGTCCCTTCCTCTTGCACGCTGGACAACTCGCCTTTTGCTGCCCCGATCAGCCCCGCGCTGGTGCGGACTGCCTCTACCTCGCCGTCGACTAAAACAAGCTCCGACTCGGTCCATGCCATGCTGCATCCTGATGTGCAAATTGTCGACAACAAATGCATTTATCACAGCGGCTCGGCGCTCCCACCGGCCGGCCACATCAAACATCATGTGGTGCTTCGGGAGGATGTGCTCTGTGCCGCACGCCTCGGCATTCAATCGAATATGCTGTGCGTGGGCTCACCGCAGCTGCACAACACCTTCGTGCGGACCCACGCGCCCCTGCTTAACCGCGGAAATGAGGTCGACCGTCGCGCACGGTGCTTGAGACGCGGCTGTATGTCCATGAAGTTCCTCGACCGCCACGTCGAAAAATACAGCTAAGCGAGATGCCTGGGCAGCGCATGGGTGCCCAGGAGCTCATACGCGGCGGCCCCGGTGTTTATCCCGTCTGGGGCACGACAGTCGTCGAATTTTCCGAACCAGCGGCTCGAGTGCACCTTCCCCCGCGCAGCGAACAACCACCCATCCTGCCCGACATTTCGTAGATCGCAAAATGACATCACTATGGCCTCTTCACGCGATTGCACCAGCAGGAAATCATGTGTGGTGAATGTGCCATCTTGCAAGGCCGTGTGAATCCAATCGATGACACGGCTGTCCACTACGTCCACATGGCGGCGGAGGTCAGGATTCACCACGATACCGCGGGGCGCGAACTTGAGCCCGCACGTCATTTACAGATATTTGAAGCGGCCTCCTTGTCAGTGCCCCCGCGGCCCACCGAGTGTGCGCCGCGCTGATGAGATCGGCGGCCGCGAACGCATCTGCGCAGCTGCTCTATCGGAACCGCGTCGGATCTGCGCAAGAAGCTTCAACGACCACCGCCGGGTCCAACTCTGCTGTGCCTGAGTTCTTCTGCAGCGCGCTGCAGTGTCACAATCGCGGCTTGAAGCCGCGGGCACTTCTGGTGTCCATCGACGCTGGATGGCCGTCGAGATCGGCGGTTATGTGGTTGAGGCGTGCGAATGAGCACGTCCCTGCCGCCAACGTGCACAGGGGCGCCAGAAGTCGCAAGGCCATTCGGCCCCAGCAAGTGCAGCTTAATGTACACGGCAAACATGGCGCCCCAGCCGCCCTGGAGTTCAGTGAACCAGCTGTGGCGAACAATCACAAGTATCATCCACGCGCTGTCACTGCGAATGTTTGACTCTCCCAGTTCCAACGACGCGATAGAGAGGTTCATGATCTTCCTGTCGTCGCGCTGGAGTTGAACACGCCGCCACGACTGAACTCATCACGCCCGAGAACCAAGGTCCATGGGTGCGCCTGGTTCGGGTAACCGCTTCGCGACAGCGCGGCCGCGAACAGCTCCTCTAGTGCTGGGCTTTCTGATGCCATCAGGGCGGGCAGCTTGTTGGGCTCCGCCAGGGGCCAGTTACAGCTTCCGCCGCTCACTGGCAGAATGGCCAGCGCGCGGCGGATGTATTCATTTTTGTTCGCGGCTGATCGGGTTCATCTTCTGTTCGCCAATGTTGGTTGGCATGGCCGCCTCCGCCTTGCGAGACGCTTTGGTCATGGTTGCCAGCCCTTGCTGCGTCACATGTCCGCGACGGAGGACTTGTTTGCACCGCTTCTCGCTCCTGACAGACCGGTCGAGGTCGCCGCGTCTTCGGCGCCGTGCCGCCACGATCCCGCGGCGCAGCCGCGACCCCGCCGCGGCGAACCCCGCCGCCGCTACACGGGACAACGCAGAACACTGGTGACGCAACAGCGCGAAACGCTGGATTGGGCAGGAGCAGCACTGCTGCGCGCTAGAGGGATAAGGAGGAGGAAGCTGCCTCGTTTTGTCTTGGCTGACAGCATTCCGGGAAAAACGGAAAATTGCATTGTACATGTCCGACGTGTCCGCGGCCTTCGACAGGGTCTTCGTCGACAGGCTGGTCAGGAAGTTGGCTGCGAGAGGGGCGCCGACGGAGGTTTTGCAGCTGTTCAGATCGTGGCTCGGCGTCCGGAGAGCCCAAGTTGTGGTCGAAGGCTGCAAGTCAATCGGGCTCTTGCTGGACAACATGGTGTTCCAGGGCACTGTCTGGGGCCCAATGCTGTGGAATGTCTTTTTTCGCTGATTCCGCGGAGCCAATCAGAAAGTTAGAATGTACGGAAATTGTCTTCGCTGACGATCTGAACGCGTTCCGGGTGTACGAGGGCAGTGCCAGCCAGGCCGCGCTTCTCAGCGACATGGACACCTGCCAATATGAGCTCCACCAATGGGGCAAGGCGAACCAAGTTTCTTTTGACCGTAGCAAGGAATCCAAACATATTCTGTCCAGAACCCACCCGCACGGGGAGGCGTTCGATTTATTGGGCGTGCGCTTTGATACGAAGCTCACCATGGCCGACTCGGTGTTCCAGCTGGCGAAGGATTGCCGTTGGAAGTTGAAAGCGATTTTGAGGGCTCGCAAATATAACTCTGGAGCGCAGTTGGCCCTGCTTTACAAAGCACAGATTCTGTCCTTCATCGAGTACAGGACTGCCGCAATCTACCATGCTTGCAAGTCAGCGCTGGAGGCTTTGGATCATGTCCAAGACAAGCTGACCGAGGCCGCCGGGGCAAGCAAAGCGGAGGCACTCCTGGCGTTCAAGCTGGCGCTCTTGTCTTCAAGACGAGACATGGCAATGCTCGGCCTGATTCACCGATCTGTCCTGGGGAAGGGTCCAGGGCATTTCAAGCAGTTCTTCAGGCTCGACCCGCAGACGGGAACGAACAAACAGCGGTGACATCGTTTTCAGCTTATCGATTACTCCGACGGGCACTGGTCCGACTTCGTGTTTCCCAACTCACGCCCTGCAGATTACATCAAACACACGCTGCTAGGATTGGTTTCGATATACAACAGGTTGCCGCCGGACATCGTGGAGTCGTCGTTCAGCGCCGCAGAATTCCAGGGGGCGCTTCAAGGTGTCATCACTGACGCTGCGCAAGCAGGCGCTGACGACTGGGAGAAGGTCTTCAGCCCGCGCGTGCCTTGGCACAGGCACCCGCTGAGGCGATACGGTTGCTAACACACATCAATTGCTGCGTGTACAAAAAAAAAGAGGAGGAGGAGGAGGAGGAGGAGGAGGAGGAGGAGGAGGAGGATAATTAGGAGGAGGAGGAGGAAGGGAAGGAGGAGAAGGAGGAGGGGGAGGATGATGATGATGAGGAGGAGGAGACAGAAGGAGGAGGAGGAGGAGGAAGAGGAGGAAAAAGAGGAGGAGGAGGCACGCACAGCGTTGGAGGGAGGAGGAGTAGCGCAAAGCAAACAGCGCACTGGCAGTAGGGAGAAGGAGTTGCGCAAGGCGTTGGAACGAGTGGGGCGTCGCAACACTTTATGCTTTATATGTTCGACCGCTACGAAACGGGAGCTCGACAGTTAAATACCTGCCTTCGACAACTCCCACACCCAATCTCGAACACGAGTTCGGGCTCAATTTGAACATCTAAGTTTTTGGATGTGTTTTGTTGTACTTGCACGCTAAGTCATAGGAGTGAAACTGCAATTCGGAAAGTTTTGTTTGAGCTGTATTTCCGCAAGTGCGACAGATCTCCAATATCTTCATACGGAGAATGAAGCATTTGTCCCGGGAAATGGGTCCAGATTTCTGGGGGTCCACGCAGTGAAAGAATCATATCGGGGGTGGACAGACCTCCTACCCTGACGCGTCGATTCAGGAATTGGCCGTTCTCGGTTCGCGAGAGGGCGCCGCGGCCGTCATTTTTGCGGGTCCAGGTCCGTCGGTTTCGGTCCCAGGCCGTTTTCCCTCACGGGAGGTGTACTAAAGGGAGGTTTGTCCACCGCCGATCCGAGCGTCGCCGAACGGGCCCGGCTCTGACAAGATTGAGATGCCTTCCGAAAAAAGGCGGGATATACCGATCCACATCCATGGCCCCGCAGGTAGGCCCCCCGGGCCGCAGCTTAACTCGGGACGCCAAGAGGAGGTGGAGGAGGAGGAGGAGGAGGTGGAGGAGAAAATGGAGGAGGAGGAGGATGAGGAGGAGGAGGTGGAGGAGAAAATGGAGGTGGAGGAGGAGGAGGAGGAGGAGGAGGAGGAGATGGAGGAAGAGGAGGAGGAGGAGGAGGAGGAGGAGGAGGAGGAGGAGGCGAGTCCCCCGGGTCGCGGGGTTCAGCTCAGACGGGGGTCAGCCAGCGCGCCAGCTCCCGCAGGATCCTGCCGCGCCACAGCCTGGTTGTTGGCCCGGTTCGGCGGCCGTCCGCGGCCCTGTGGAGGCCTTGGTATCGCTCGGACGTGTGCACTTTCTCTCGGCGGGGATAATCGGGGCTGGACAGAACCCCCAACAGTGACACGTCGATTAGTGAATTGTCCGTTTTCGGTTCTCGAGAGGGCGCCGTGGCCGTTATTTTCCAGGCCTGCGCCCGCCAGGTTTGGGCCTCAGGTCGTTTTCACTAAACCACGTTTTACTAAAGGGAGGTCTGTCCATCCCCGAGATAATCACAAAAGCAGCATCCTGGATCATCCTTCGACAAAAAAAAAACATGCACGAAGCCGACAAAAAACATGGAATGACGTCCGAGCGATGGCCAGAGGCAGCCTTACGCAGTGGTTGAGCTGGGCCTGTGAAGCCCCTCGGAACATTGCAGCTTGGTCTGTTATGCATTGGCAGAGCTGGGGTTTGCGCTGAGCCTTGCTAATCCACGCCCGGCCCATGGACACGGTGCGTTTTCTCGTGGGCGCCCCGCGCGGAACGCAACCATGCGACCGGTATCCACGCGATCACGCGCCAGAATCCGAGGGATGTGTTCGCCGTTCGCGAAATCATATGCCCCACGAACGAGGCACGCCGATTGCATTTTTTTGTCAGCACTGGGCTGACGCTTCGTGCCTTGTGGGGTTCTCTCAAGCCGGACTGATTCCAGACCATGTTAGCGACGCAGGAAAATGTTGGAAACTGGAGCATGTACAGTGGCGGGCGGTTTTTCAATCCCCAGATTTTTTTAGGGTCGGGGACGACGTCGGGGTGGTGTGGTGCATACGTTTCTCCCAGCTTTCGCGGGGAAACAGCGAAGAATGTACACCAGGATCCCGTATACACCAGGATCCGTTTTCCTGTGCAGTTTTCAATGCAGGGCCGGAAAAAGCGTCGGTCTATAGAGTTCAATTCCCTAAAATGGGGCCGGCCTGCGCCGACATCGATTGAGCACCCCGCGTAATGCCGTGCGTCGGCGACTTCGTTTCTGGTGCAGCATGCCGCGCTAGCGGCCCGCGCAAGCCACCGCGTAACGTCGCTATTCCATCTCGTTTACAGTCGGCCCGGATTAGCAGGTCGACCCTGCCAAATCAAGGGTATCCTTGTGTCCTGTGTCTCGCGACCCATGCTTCCTGCATTCCTGTGGCAATGTGACCCTCGGAAGGGTCTTGTGCCTTCTCGCGTGTCCTGTCCAATCAAGTCCGATTGTAAGACCCGTGTTTTCTCGTCGTTCACGTGTGCGTGAAGGAGGGCACGGGGACGTAGCCCAAACACTTGCAAGCAGGCACCGTGGGGCTCGCGCCGCCGCTGGGGCTCGCGCCGCGGCGAGGAGCCGCCGCCCGGCGCCTCTCCCCTCAGGCTTTCTGGGCGCTGCAAAAACTCCAGACCCTCCAGAAGGGATCGGAGCACTGGCGAAACCGATTGTGAGGATGGGTCACCTTCCCAGGGGTACCCCCACATCGCTGACCCCTCGGCCCATCCTTAATCGGTGATGCGGCTCGATGTGGGTTCGGATTTTCTCCACGCCGACGCCGCCGATGCATCGCGCATCGCCGACGTCGGCTGCGCATCGCCGATGCATCGGTGATGCATCGGCGATGCGGCCCGATCCTGCGCCCCCATCTACTCAACCCCAATCTGGGCGGCCTGAACCACATATGTCGTGGCGCCTGGGTTTTTCTCTTACTTCTTCACGTTTCGGAGTTATCCATAACCATTGTCTGGGGCAATCGATATTCGGGACCTCGACATGGTGGATCTCGATAGGGCTATGACACTTCTGCATCTGAGGGCCCTCGGCCCTTGTCACCACCGTGCCTTGGTGTTTGGGAATGAAGTCTGTTGGGCCATCTTGGGGCCATCTGGGGCGTCCTGGAGCGATCGTTGGGCGACTCGATGCCCTCTTGGACCGTCTTGGGGGCGTCTTGGAGCTCCTTGGGTCCGTCTTTGAGCCCTCTTGGGCCGAACGAGTCACGCGCCACCACGCGCTAAGCCCCACGGGGCACGCGCCAAGCGCCCCAGGAGATTCGACAACGGGGCCCTCACGGACCCCTCAGGACGGAGGACGGAGGCTCAGGGGACTGAGCAGAGGACCTGCGGGCACGCCACTCTGTGCCCAGAGGCACGATATTGTGGACACACACACACACACATCTGAGTAGGCCCGGGGGGGGGGGCAAAATCGGTGCCGTCATCCCCCATGGCCGCCCCCCCGAACCTTTGGGGGGTCACAGACCCCCCAGGACTGCCCCGGGCCGCTTCCAAATTGCTTACGACAGGCCACGCGGGCCGTACAGATGGTCAAGAAAGCCTGAAGAGGCCCCGAAGACGCCAACACAGCACAAGAGAGACCCAGGACGCCCAATTGTTTAAAGACAGCCCCCAGAGGCCCCGGACACGCCGAAGATGGCCTCAGGACGGCCGACGACGCCGCCAAAACGCCCCAAGAGCGCAAGAGCGCCTCCAGAGGCCCCTCCAAACAGCCCCAGAAGCCGAAAATCATACATTTTCCGATAGTTTTTGAAGCATTCTTGCGCTCTCCCATGTTCCGCCTCCCCACGGTCCCGGACCGCGTCAGAGGCCCTTCAGATCGCTCCAAGACGGCCGAAGAGGCTCCCAAGAACGCCCAGAGACGGCCCAGGAGGCTCCCCAGATAAGTCAAGAGGGCCTCGAGAGCGCCATAAGATAGCCCCAAGAGCGACCCAAGAGGGCCCGAAGAGCGCGACATTTCGAGGTCTCTGGCCTGAGAGGCTCCTAGGACGCCCCCGGAGGCCATCAAGAGGCTCCCAAGATGCCCCGTGAGGCTCCCAAGAGGCCCCCCGGCTGCCCCAATACGTCCCCAAGGGACCCCCATTGAAGCCCCCTGCGGGCCCCCAAGACACTTCGGTAAATCGTATTTCCCAGATAGCTTTCAGAGAACATGGTTTCTTGGGCTTCCGCCCACCGCCCCAACCATGTTTCCAATAGGCGTGCCGACAAGGTCAAAAGGCGCCCCTCGGTAAGCCCCCAGAGGCCCCCCTCTTAGAGATCCGAACAAATCATGCTCCCGGAAAGCTTCCCAGGAACATGATTCTCTATCACGGTGGGCCCAGGGAGAGGGGGGCGGGCCGCTGCCTGTTCCCCCCATCGGTGTCCACCAGGGGTTGCGGGGGGGGGGGGGGATCCAGAGCTCCCGAGGCGGCCCGAGCCCGCCCCGAAGCAGGCCACGACAGGCTAAGGGGGTCCCGAGAGGACCCAAGACGGTCCCACGAGGCCCCGAAGACGCCCAAGATGCCTTCAAAACAGCCGACGAGGACTCCAACATGCTCCAGGACGGACTCAAGAGGCCCACCAAGAGGGCCCTGGAAGGCAAGATTCACTAATTGTTCCATGGTTTTTGAAGGATTTAGGCGTTCTCGCTTTCCCCGCGTCCCAGCGCTCCCTCACGGCCTCGCTCGGAGACCCTTCAGATCGCTCCAAGACGGCCCAGGAGGCTCCCCAGATAACCCAATTGTGCCCCAAGAGCTCCCCAAGAGAGGGCCCAGAGGGGGACCGCCAACCGATATTTCGAGGTCTCTGGCCCTAGAGGCCGCCTGTAGGCCCCCGGGGGCCACCAAGAAGCTCCCACGAAGCCCCGTGAGGCGCCCAAGAGGCCCCCAGGAAGCCCCAAGAGACCCCTAAGGGGCTCCCAGGGAACGCCCAAGAGGCCCCCCAACACACCCCAAGAAATCATGTCCCCAGAAAACCTTCCGTGGACATGGTTCATCATGGGTCCGAGAGTTCCTCGAGGCCCCAAGGGGCCCCAGGGAACGCCCAGGAGACCCCCCAACACACCCCAACAAACCATGTCCGGGGACATGGTTCATCATGGGCCCGAGAGTCTCCGGAGGCTTACCATCATGCTACAGGAGAGCTGTTTGGGAAGATGATTGGGCATATGACTGATCGCCTTCTCGCGGCCCTCCGCAAATTGTTTCGCACAAAGTTGCCCCAAGTGCCTTCTTAATCGACGACGACGACGACGAAACGACGAAGACGACGACGACGACGACGACGACGACGGCGCGCCCCAATAGGCGACGACGACGCGCCCCAATAGGCGACGACGACATTACGACGACGACGACGACGACGACGGCACGCCCCAACAGGCTCCCCAAGACGCCCCAAACCCATGCTCCCAGAAGGCCTTCTGGGAACCCGATTCATACGGCCTCCGCCCCCCTACACAACCATTTTCCTCGAAGGCCTTTCGGAATGCAGAATGGCATGTGTAGACTGTGGTCCACTACTTCAGTGGAGCAGTGAATTCGTCAAAGCCTGGGGCCTGCTAGAACCTGAGCGCGCGCGAAGCTCGCGCGATGTTTCTAGTGTGTATATATATATGTATATATATATATAAATATTCAGGGCGTGAATTACCTACCCCGCTTTCGCTTCCAGGCAAAACCAAGTCATACCATGCGCCCCCTCGTCAAGCGGCCTGACCAGTACAGGCCGTAGTTTGGCATCTCTTGGCATCTCTTGAAAGCGAGGGTGGTCAGAAGCGAGGTAGGTTTGGCTCCCCCCTATGTATATATCTCTCTCTCTCTCGAGATATATATATATATAGATGGTGTGTGTACCTGCCGATGTCCACAATGATCGACCCCTTGTATGCGCGTTGGCTAGGGACCCAGCCCCGCCTCGCACTCTCGGCCTCCTTGGGGGCCGTCTCCCAGCCCGGGGACCGTCAAATAACACATCGGGATGAAAGGCCAGCCCCGGGAAAGGCGTCGAGATCCCTAAGGTCGGGGGCGGAAAAGAGGGGGGTGATGACTAGGGGGGGGTGGATATCATGGCGTGGGCCATGATATTTCCCCAGATCTCATGGCGCCTCTTCTTCTTTCATTACGTCCCTGGCCCGCCCGCTGGGCCGCGCACATGCCGCCGGTCATGATTTGCACACCCCCCTCTTCGACACCCCCCTCTTTGCCGCTCCCGATAAGGGTCCACGTCGCAAAAATTGTGTCCGCGGAGCAGAGGGGGGCTCTGCGATCTTCCAACATCGACGATGCCGACGACGTCTTCACCGCACGACGGCGCTCACGAGGACGACGCCGACGCCGACGACGTCAACGCCGCCAGCGTCGTCGCCGTCGCCGTCGCCACCTTCGTCGCCGTCGCCGACGTCGTCGTCGTCGTTGTTGCCGAAAATGTACGACGACGCTGACGACGTCGGCGAGGTTCAGAGGTTCAGAGGTTTGTCAGTCAGCCTCGGCCTCTGGGCCTATGCGTCCGCTGTCCTGGGGAAATCGGGCCCGCTGGCTTGCCGCCGCTTTGGGCATCTCGGGAGCCTTCAGACTTGGGTCATTGCAAACGGGGTCAGCCAGAGCGCAGGATCTTGCAGGATCCTGCGCAGCCAGGGCGCATTGACTCGGGCTTGCCGCAGTGTCCTGCAGGACCCTGGAGGACCCTGCTGGCTCTCGCAACCCTCGACTGACCCGGGTCTGGACTGACCCGGGTCAGCTTGCTCCCCGCGCCTCTGGGGCTCGGGGCCGGCCTCGGGCCTCGGGACCGCCCACGAGAACGGCTCGGGACGACGAGGCGGCCCCAGGGAAGGGGCCGAGAGGCCCGGGGGCCCACGTAGCGAGAAGGTCGGAGCACCGGACCAGCAAGGCTCGGCGGCAGCGCTTGCCAATGTATGGCCTCCAGTGGCTCCACAGGTTGGCCCCGGCTCCGTCAAGAAGCGACTGATGGCAACCAGGCCCCAGAGAGGGTCTTTCTGTGACCACCTGGAGTTTTCTGTATCCCACGATACGAGTTCTGCTGCGAGTAACGTTTGTTGCTTCCACCCGACTTCCGCCTTCGCGCACTTGTCTGTTCAAAAACGCAGATTCCACCTCGTGAACCGAACGACGTTCGGGGATCGAAGTCGAGTCCCCTCACGGGGCCTCCTGGGACTGCGTGCTCGTGGACATAGGGCGCCTCTGGGTTGTGTGCATCGTTTAAAGCGCAAGCTTGGGGCGAGCATGGCTGCAAAACCCCTCAGGGTCCCACGTTGCTCTGCTTTGTAGGCCAGTCGCCCCCCGTTTCAGGGCTCCTTGGCAGCTCTTGGTTGCTCCTCGCTGATTCTGCACATTCCACCCCTCTCTTCTTCTATGTCGACCTCCTCGTTCCCATCCTCTCGTTCCAGTCCCCTCTCTCCCCCCCAAACTGGAGTTTAAAGAAACGCGGACGTGGAGAGCAGAGTTTCCACCACTGGGCGCGGGACGAGGCAGAGAGACCCGCTCAGCTCGTTACTTTTCAAGAGCCCGTCGGAGGAAATGTTCAAAGGAAGCCCAACAAAATACTGATTATGATTGAGCTGTTTCAACCAGGTGCGTTCAACGAATCTTGCACCTCGGAGCGACGGCCTACTCTTCGGAGCATCACTAACATTGTGGAAGTCGGTGAATACGAGGGGGGCGTGCTGCCAAATAATTTCCAGATGTCTAAGCAATACGTCAAACATGCTTTCAAAATGTAAAACAACATGTTTGACACATGTTTAGAGAACATAAGCTATACATTTCAAGCACATGTTTTATTCACTGGCAGGATTGTTGGAATGTCCATTGTCATGGCATCCACAACGCTAACAAGTACGCAGGATGCTACAAGACATAATGGAGGTCGCTGGCCGTGCAGGCCTAGAGTTGCACCCACACAAGACAACTATTCTTCGCAATCTGGAGGCGCCAGTACGCACAAGCGTGGGAGAAGTCGATCTATGAGTTCTGGAGCACAATGGCACGCAGAATTATTTGGGACGACTGCGGACCTTCTGCAACCTAGCGAAGGTAGAAATCGACACCCGCACCCAAGCCACTCGGAACAAGTTCTTGGCTGTTCAAATATGACTTTCGCTCTCGAGCATACCCGCTGCGCGACAATTTCAGGCTCTTTAATGGTACGGCGATTCCAACAATGCTTTACGGTTGTGTGTCATGGACTACGACCGCCAGTTTGGAACAACAAATCCGTTCAACCCAGCGCCAACAGCGAATCCGACAGTGGTATGGAGTCTTGGGCGGAGTGGGTGCGACGTTCTACTCACATGGCAGAGGTTTCCTTTGCGAAGATGGGCTACGAAAGCTGGGTTGGCATACATAAGAAAAGAAGGACATGCTAATGGGCACAAGAGGTCACCAAGGATAGCCCGAACAGATGGAGCTACAAGACTTCTCTGTGGGACCCGGAAGACCACACGGGCCACAAACAAGTTTGATCGACAACCTCTGAGGGGCTACGGCCCCGCCGCCGTCCGCTTCGGAGGCGCTCCCCGCGCATGCGTGGAGCGGAGTCGGCGCTCGTCTCGCCTCTCTCCCCCGTCCCCCCCCGAGTTTTTCATAGTTTGACATGCAGGCGCCAGGTGGCCTTGGGGGGGCCACAGGAGCCCTGGGGCGCCTCGGGAAGGTCACGGCTTGACAGCAACAAACGCGCCCCTAGATTTTGTAGAGCAAGATCTCTTGTCGTATGTGACTGCTGGCCAGGGGAAAAGCGGGTGGGGGGCTCAGGGGGGATGCACCGGCTTCCAACCGCCCACTTATCGCCAAAAGGAGGCCTGATAGCCCACACCGCCCCAGGGTCGTGCGGATTCGCTATCGGAGGCCCATTGCCGATCTATCGGCGATGCCTCGCCGATTCCCGCTCGATGTTGCCCCCTGAGCTGGCCCCCCCCCGCTAACCTTGCCCCTCGTTCCGCTCGCCGCCCCAGGAGTTCCCATGGGCGGCCTCCCCGTGGGCGGCCTCCCCGTGGGCGGCCTCCTCGGCAGGCCCCCGCGCAGGGGCTGCGAGTGGTGCTGGGTGCTGCTGGTGGCCGCGTGCTTCCTGGTGCTCACGTACAGACCCCGCCGTCGCCCGGCCGCCCCTGAGGTCCTCCCCTTGCTCGGGGGCGGCAAAGAGGGGGATGATGACTAGGGGGGGGGATATCATGGCGTGGGCCATGATTTTTCCTCAGATTTCGTTGCGCCTCTTCGTATTTCATTACGTCCCTGGGTCCCCCTCTGGGCCGCGCACATGCCGCCGGCCATGATTTGCACCCCCCCCCCTCTTGGCCGCCCCCCCTCTTGGCCGCCCCCGACTTGCGCGAGGAAATGCGACCATGGATTGAAGCGCGTGGATCAGGCACGGGTCCCGTTTCCGTGCCAACTCGGCGCGTTCTGCCGTGAAATCGGGTGGCGTTTGCGCTATGTCCTAGGGATTGCGCTCCCCGATCCGTGGATCTGCGCCAGATCCACGGATCCCGAATCCATGTTAGCGTGCGCCCGACCTGGGAGTGAGGGGGCCAGGTTTGATGCTGGGATGTCTTCTAAGAGGCCAACTATAGCGTACAAAGACCGACAGCATTTCCTGTCCATTCTGACCAGGGTTCGTCGCCGCTGACGTTGCCAATTTGAGACAGAAGGCCGCCTGCCCAATAGCGGCCGCTGTACAGTTTGGACAGCATTCGTTGTTGGGCATTGCGTTCCTTTTTCCTTCGCACTCCGGGCGCCCACCTTCGCAGAAACACCCTGCCTTCCACAGAAGCCCCCCCCCCCCCCCCTCGACCCCCGTCTCGTGCCCGCCTGTCTTCTGCGTGTCGGCCCCCGCCCGATGGGGGCCCAGGCTCGGGAGTGCGTGTGTGCATCGTTCCAGGGCCAAGGATGGGGGAGAGGAGGTAGGGGGAGGAGGGGAGGGGGAGGAGAGGCTGGGGGAGGAGGGAGGAGGGGAAAGAGGGGAGGGGGGAGGAGGGAGATGTGAGCGGAGCAGGGGGAGGCGGGGGAGGCGGGACGGGGAGGAGGGGGAGTATGCGGGAGGACAGGAGGGGGACGATGTATGACGAGTGGAAGCGGCGGAAGCTGGAGTCGGGAGGAGCGAGTCCTCCCCCCTCGCCCCTCGCTCGGGCGAACGTGTGTGTGTGTGTGTGTGTGTGTGTGTGTGTATGCGTGTGTGCGTGTGTGTGTGTGTGTGTGTGTGCGTGTGTGTGTGTGTGTGTGAGTGTGTGTGTGCGTGTGTGTGAGTGTGCGTGTGTGTTTGTGTGTGTGTGTGCGTGCGTGGGCGTGTGTGTGTGTGTGTGTGTGTGCGTGTGTGTGCGTGTGTGTGCGTGTGCGTGTGTGTGTGTGTGTGTGTGGGTGGGGGGGGTGCGCGCGTCTTTGCGCATCGACGTCCACCCCGAGGGGGGATCCCAGTGGGGACGGCCGGGCGACGGGCGGGCGCGGCCACTTGCTGTACGGGCAGATGTGGGGCGAGGTCCAGGCGGCGCGTCCCGCGTTCTTCTCGCCCTCGCCCTCGTCGTCCCTCGTCGTCGTCCGCGATGCTTCTGCTTATGCTTACGATTATTACGGTGTTGCTGGTGATGATGATGGTGGTAATGATGATGAAGCTGCTGATGATGACGATGCTGCTGATGATGATGACGATGCTGATCATGATGCTGATGATTATACTGATAATTCTGATGATGGCGTTGGTGATGATCATGCTGCTGATGGTGCTGATGATTATAATGATGATGGTGGTGGTGGTGATGTGGAGACTGCTGCTGATGATGATGCTGCTGGCGATGCTGTTGCCGCTGATGACGATGCTGATGACGACGATGATGGTGATGATGCTGTTGATGATGATGATGATGATGATGATGATGATGATGATGATGCTGACGTTGCTGATGCTGATGATGATGGTGATGGTGATGGTGATGGTGAGGGTGAGGGTGAAGGTGGTGGTGATGCTGGTAATGCTGATGGTGGTGATGATGACGATGATGCTGATGCTGCTGATGCTGATGCTGATGCGTGTGATGCTTAGGATGACGAGTATGATAATGGTGCTGATGATGACGGGGATGGTGATTGTGATCATGTGGATGCTGAGGATGATGATGGTGATGGTGATGGTTATTGTGACGGTGATGTGATGCTGATGGTGATGGTGATGGTGATGAGTGGGATCGTGAATGGGAATGTGGTCCAGATGGTGATGGTGACGGATGATGGTGATTCTGATGGTCAGAGTAATGGTGAAGGCGTTGGTGATGGAGGAGGCGAATTGTGATGGTCACGGTTGTTGTGGTGGTGATGGTAATGGTGATAGTGATGGTGATGGCGATGGTGATGGCGATGGTGATGGCATGAGGTTGATGTTGTTGATGATGAGAAGGATGATGAGGAGGATGACGATGGTGGTGGTGGTGCTTTTGCTTATTGTGGTGATGGTGGTGGTGATGATTATGATGGTAATTGCATGAGGGGAGGCTGAGGAGGAGAAGAAAGAGGAGGAGGAGGAGGAGGAGGAGGAGGAGGAGGAGGAGGACCTCCCCCCCCTCGTCCTTCTCCTGGTCCTCCTTCTCCTCTTCCTCCCGTCGTCCTCGGTCTTGTCCTCGTCCCCATCCTCGCCCTCCTCAGATTGGATGTCCAGTCTGAGCTCTACAGAGGACCCTGCTCAACGAGGGCCTGGGTCATCTGATTGGATTTGGCCGTCTCTGAGGTCCGTGGGCCACTGGATGGCAAGTTTCTCGTTGTCCTCCTCCTGCCCATCCTCCTGCTTGTCTCCTCTTGCTCCTTGTGGGGGGCATTCAGATTGGAAAAAGGGGGGCATCAGACGGAGGAGAGGCGGATGAGGAAGACCAGGGTGAGGATGGAGCGAGGGAGCTGGGAGGGGGCGGAGGGAGTGGGAGGGAGTGTGACGGAGTGGGAGAGAGGCAAGGTAAGTGCGCTCGCGTCATATCCGTAGTAAGGGCTTCGTCCCCATGCCGCCGGCCCCCCTCTCTTAGAATGGGACTTGCCAGTGTTGTGTTGGGATGTCTGGACGCTGACGTGAAGCAGTGTCGGGGCTTCACGCGAGGGTCGATATTAATTGTCGAGGGCTTCTGGTTTCGGTGGCGGGGATATTAGGTAGTTTACGATGGTGTATGTAATTTGCAAGGGTTTGTGGACTCGGGGACGCAAGTATGGGGGTTTATGTCCCTGGCGGCGCGAATATGTTATAATTGTCTGAGGTGTATGGCTTCGGGGGCGCGATTATGCAGTAATTTATATGGGTGTATGGTTTTTGGGGCGCGAATATTGCGTAATGTGTGAGGGTTTATGGCTTCGGGGGCGCGAATATTTCGTACGTGACGTGGGATTCTGCGTTCGGGGAAGCGAATCTTGTATAATTTGCGAGGGTGTATGGCCTCGGGGACGCGAACACGACGTAATGTACTGGGGTTTATGGCTTCGGGACCGCGAATAGCATGTATATATATATATATATGTATCTATATATATATATGTATATACACATATGAATATACATATATATATATATACATATATATGCGTGTCCCACGCCCCCCCCTTCGGAATTCAGACAACGCGATTTGGGAGTGGTAAAACAGCTGGTTTGGGGCTCTCCCCCCTCGCGCGTTCAGCAACAATTGACAGGAAGGAAGCAGAACACAGGACTGTAACAGTGGAAACTGGAAACTGCAACTGGAACAGGGAGCTGCAATCCTCAGCCTCGCAGCCTGGTGGCCCCGCAAAAGGGGGCCAGCGGATCTGACGTCCTATCCCTTCCTCCCATCCCTTCCCATCGCGTAGATCTCCTCTCTGTTCGTACAGTCGGATGTCGAACAGTGCAATGTTCGCGAGAGGGTGTGCCATGCATCGTAGAGCACGGCATGGCATGGCGTGGAAGAGCACGGCAGAGCGTATAATGTCATAGCATGGCGTGGTCTTGCGTAGTGAACATTGCATCACAAAGCATTGCAACGCAAAGCATGGCATCGCACAGCGGCGCAGAACAGAACACCGCACAGTATGTCATGGCAGGGCATTGGGTTCCTTGGAGGGTAAGTGGATAGTTTTCGAAGAGTCTGGGCGGTTCTGCAGTCACGGCTCCATGTTTAGCTTCCTGGGCTCCGCGAAAAGCTCCCCACAAGGCGGAGCTCTGCTTGCAACATCCCCTTCTGAAAGCAGAAACGGGGCTCCCGCTTGATACTTCCTCCAAACGCCGCGTCCCCGAAGTGGGGGGAGGGGTTTTCTGCGGCCGAAAAACTCAACGACTCATCGACACCAGGTGTGTAGTGACTTGCGATTTTTCTGAAGGTAATAGTGGAGGGGACTAATCGACTAATCGACACCAGGTGTGTAGATTTGGGGCCAATGTGGAAGGACCAAAAACGCCGGCGCTGCAGCGGGAGCACGTTTTGAAACAACCAGAGGCGCAGAAATGGTGCCAGCGTTGCAGGGGGAGCAACATTTTGAAGGACCGAAAAGGATCGGATTGCCAAAAACACATTTGAAGACCAGAAAATGAGGCCAGCGCTGCAGCGGGAGCGCGATTCGGAACGAGCGAAAGCGCGGAAATGAGGCCAGCGTTGCAGCGGTTGCACGATTCGGAACGAGCGGAAGGCCGAAATTGAGGCCAGCGTTTCAGCGGGAGCAACATTATGGAGAAAAACCAAAGCGCAAACCCAGTTCCCGGCAATCCTGTGTGTAGAAAACATTTCGCGGAGGGGGGGCGAACATTTTCCGGACATCATCAGGGGAGAGAGGTCAGTCGTATCCATATCGTGAAAGTGCGCAGGCGGGGGAGGGTGATGCTGCGACGCGGGGCTTTTTCTGACGGCCATGCTCCTTCGGTGCAGCTGGGCGAGTGGGCAGCGCATGGACCTCGCGAGCATCCGCCATTCGTCAGGAGGGAAAAAAACACACAGACACAATTAATCCTCGATTCCCAGGAAAATATGGGAAAATATGGGAATTGGGGGGGAAGACAAAAACCCAGAAAATATGGGAAAATATGGGGACTATTTTTATTTGTGTGTATTTATTTGTGTGTCCTAATTTCCCTTTAATTCGAGCCACCACCCAGCCGAGCCCTCCAAGTTGA